TACGTCTTGTGCAGGCGAGACCATGTCTATATGACATGAGACATGCAAACTATAAAAATAGAAGAATCAGGCAACGTGCATGGCTGGAGATCGCTCAAGCAACGTGGCCGGATTGGGAAACCTTCCCCAAGCAAGCAAAGGAATCAAAAGGTACATGTCAGCAATGCTTTTATGTGTTGAATATTTTTTTGCAGAATGCATGCACTGTTGTTATGCGTCACGCGTGCATTGTTTGTATATGACTTGTGTTCATTATTTAGGTGTAACATGCGTGCATGTCTGCTATGTTTTCATGCAGAATGCATGCAGTGTGTACTGACATGTGCGCATTATTTTCTTGTGACATGTGTACAGTGCATTTATGTCCCATGCGTGCAGTATTTTAATGTGACATGTGTGCAGTATTTTTATGTCCCATGCATGCAGTATTTTAATGTGACATGCGTGCAGTGTTTTTATGTCCCATGCGTGCAGTGTTTTTTAATGTCCCATGCGTGCAGTTTCTTTATCTCCCATGCGTGCAGTATTAAATATGTCCCATGCGTGCAGTTTTTTATGTCCCATGAGTGCAGTTTCTTTATGTCCCATGCGTGCAGTATTAAATATGTCCCATGCGTGCAGTTTCTTTATCTCCCATGCGTGCAGTATTAAATATGTCCCATGCGTGCAGTTTCTTTATCTCCCATGCGTGCAGTATTAAATATGTCCCATGCGTGCAGCTATTTATAAAAAACAATACTCCAGTCTGTTTTCAATTCAAATATATTTTATTGGTATCAGATCAAGGGAAAATTTTGTTTTTGAGGGGAATCAAGACTGAATCGCTTGCATCTGCCATGACACCTCCCCCTCAGGTGACATGAAGTATGCAGCGAATCCGTCACGAATGCTGCCACCATTCGTTGTTCCACGCCTGGCGCTGCATTGGCTATTCTCCATGCAGTGCGCCAATGAATCATTAAAATTAAACCCATCTCTGCAACGCACAAAATTGTGAAGGGCGCAAGCTGCCTTCACCGCAGAGATGGCGTTTTTAAGTTTGAGGTTTATTGGCGTGTGCAGGAAGCGTTCCCCGGGAGGTCAAGATCCCCGCTTCTCAACCTCAGTCCCAATTGTGAATGGCCAAATACCGCAGAATCTGAGCTGCTGCCGTATGATCCAACATCAATATAGCGGAAGCAGTAATTGGAATCTGCAACCGCAAAGAGCACAAAATATATTTTTTTTATAATTGAAGAAACGGCTCCCACTGCCAATTGGTTTCACAATCCGGACATGTTTCCCATCTAGGGCTCCAATGCAGTGTGGGAAGTTGCAGGATGTGGCAAATGATGCTGCAATTTCCAGCCACTCCTCTTTGGTCGGTTCCTTCATCACCACATCATGGAGGACCTCCCAAATCGCAATGCACGTTTCTTTTATGATCTTGCTTGCCGTTGATTTGCCGATCATGAACGAAAAATGAATCGTGGCCAATGACTGGCCAGTCGCTAAATACCTAAGAAATGAAAGATAAAAGCAAGAATTTAATTAGTTCATGTTTACATTTTGTTTCCACAGTCGATATCCTAAAAAAAAAATGGAAGAGCATGAAGGACGCCTTTACACGCCACCGAAGAAAGGAGCGGGAATATCGCAGTGGCGCGGCTGCCAGTGCCCCATACCGCTACATTCATGCGGAGCAGCTGTCATTCCTCATTCCATGTACTGAAATGCGGAGGTAAGTCACGTCCATTGCAATTACTAAGTCATGAATGTAGTCATATGTAACATGCATAGAATAATATATAGCACATACTTATGTATTGTTTATTACTCTTTTCAGCACCGACAGTAGCTGGGAGCCTACTGAGGGGCCTGAAGAGGACGAGCTGGAATCGGCCACATCACCGACCGAGCCTTCCTTCTCCCCAGGACCACTGAGCCCACCCCCACCAAGCATCACACCAACACCACCAGCACCACCACCACCACCAACAGCACCGCCGACACCAACCACCTCTGCCCCAAGAGCCAGGGTCATTGTACGCAGGCGTAGCGTGCTCAGACCCCGACGCCAGAGGTTTGAAAGGGAGGAGAACAGGCTGGTTGAAGTCCTGGACTCCATGTCTAATCCTCTCCCCAGGCTGACAAGCACAGCTCATTTCCTGCTCAGCTTGGAGGAGAAACTGAACATGGTGCCTTTACATAGACAGTCGGCAGCACGGGAAGGACTCATCAGATTTATTGACTCCCAACTTCTCCCAGATGACTCTACACCACATGACACTGCACCCATACCTGCCCCACCCATTCGACAACCACCTCAACATGTCCAACACATGCACACACACGCCTCACAAGCATACCCACACACACCCATGCAGCATCAGCACCACCCAGAAACATGGCACCCACGCCCACATTCCCCATATGTTTATCCCTCCACCAGCCTGGCACAACGCTCCAACACACAACAACCAGCTGGCTATTCCACACGTGGAATGAGGGAGGACATGCAGGTGGATGAGCCTAACTTTGCGCTCCCAAATTACCAAAATTTATAAATTTGGCCTTGAAAAGTCCGTGTAAAGGCACCATTTTCAGTTTCTTCTCCTACACGGTTGAGCAGGAGAATTTTTATATGCCATTGTTAATGTTTATATTTATAGTAAAATTTTACGAAAATGTAACAATGAGTTTGTGTGGTTTTTTTATGGGGTTTAAGATGAATTTTTAAAATATGTTTAGGGTTTGTTTAAAAAAGGTTGTGTTATATGGAGGAGGTTCACACATGCCATACGTCTGCATACATATCACAAAGACACCGAGGTTACAACAGCACAACGCACAGGGCACTACAGCAAAAGGCACAACACACAGAGCATTAATATCCCATTCCATATAAATAGCACTTGAAAACAGATTATAATTAATTTAGTTAAGGAGGGGTAAGTAATGTCACAGATCAGCGTTGATCTGTTATTTGTAGTTCCACAAAGCGGTGTAGCTCCCAGATTGTAGCTACCAGCTCGCTACATGAGCAAATCGCCAGGAGAGAGTGTATATATGAAATTGGTGATTGATATGTACTAATTTATATTTATAAATTAGTACACATAAATAATTAATTTCATACTTACACCCACTGATAATCACAGAGAGCACACATTTTAAACTCTATTTATGCTTCTTTACGCCAAGATTTAATTGGTCTATCATTCTACAAAGGAGTCATGTATTGAACTTACCGCAAAGTGATCACTAATCGTTCCGCAGGTGGAATGCTGTCCCGCATGAAGGTGTCCTGACGCTCCAACTGGACAGACAGCAATCCCAGTAACTCATCAAAACTGTAAAAATATATAAAGGTTTGTGGTCAATACTAGCAACATGAATACATGAACAACATATACATGTACTCCATTACAATGAATGGGACAGAACAACAATAAGCACTAACAATTGTTTATGTACTAACCTATTTATGGAAATGCGGGTGTAGTTGAAGAACTTATCCTCATGTCCACGTAGGGTCTGAAACATAGCCCAAAATTGGCCTCTTTCCTCACGGTTGGCTATTACCGGATGGATCCAGAATTGTCGCCTACTATCCCTCCTTCTCCATAATGCTATCAATCGCAGTGCTGCAACGACTGCTGCAGTCCTTCTACGTCTGGTCAGCTCCATAATGTCACAAATCAATCAAAACTGTTCTCTGCAAAAGATCCTCCACACACCACACGGTCTTTTGCATACAGGAAAGGGAAATGCTGCTTCTCAGGAAGTCTTTTTAATTGGACGCTTGCAGAAAAACAGGAATTCTTCTTCATTGGATACCTCTGTTGTCGCTCCAAAACGCGCGTGCCTCGCGCGTTTCTAATATAGAAAACCGCGCTAAAAACGCTCATGCAAACGCGCCAAACGCCGGGAAGAAAACGCGCGTGTGACGCGCTTATGAAAAACGCCCAGGTGTGAATGGGGCCTAAAAGTTTTAGTTTCCTGCCGAATCAACTGGTCCCCTGATATCCTGTTTTAGGGTGGCTCCTTTCCTTTGCAAGGTCCTATGGAGTCACCCTTGTGTGTGCTAGTGAGCTGTGTGTGTCTTCAAAAGCACACAGGCACAGCAAGACAAGACATCCTGGCTTCTTGCACCCTACTCCTCCTTCCTTCTTCCTTTTCCTTTCCTTTTCCTTTTTTTGGCTTCAGTTCTACTTTAAAGGATTATTAAACCCTTGTGTGTTTTCCATATATCTGATACTAGCAAGCAGTAGATATATGCAAAAACATAAAAAAAAAACAAAAACAAAAAAGGGTTAAAACTTAGCCGTGTCTCTGCCGCGCGCTCCCGTCCGAAGATCTGAAGATTCTCGGGCAGCCGCAAAGGATCATGGGGCGGGCGCATGCGCAGTTCAGATCTTCGGCCGAGAGACACAAGGTAAGTCAATGGAGGTAGCGTGCACCCGCACAGACTCTGTGGGAAAAGAAGTACCAAGAAAAGAGAGGAGTCAGTGCTGGATCAGAGACCGGCACCACTGCTGGAGGGACTCCTGATAACTACAGGAAAGAAGAAGACGATCGGATCAAGTATTTTGGAACAAATGAGGAGTTTCCTTAAAATAAAAACACATTCACTTATTCATTAATATTAATATTTTATTCATTTTAGAAACATTTTCCCTCCTTCACCTTCAATTATTTTAATCACTGCGGTCAAAAGCGATCATGGATTTGACCCCATTAATTATTAGAAAATTAAATAATTGTACAGATTTTTTTAATTCTTTTTTTTCCCTTTTTTTAAAGGAAATTCTGCTGCTGTATAGCCGGCTTTATTATAAAGAAGAAGCCAGCGTGGGGAGCTGTACAGTAGAGGTGTGATGGCGACAGATAAAGTCATTCTGGGAGGAGTGGCATTGGTTAGAGTTAGGTCACCGGCTGTCATGTGGGAGGACCCGGTGTATTTAACCTGCTGCCAAAGAATTCCTATGATACATCTAGAAAACTTATCAGCTGGCTGACACAAGGAATTCAACTGCAGGTACCAGGCTCTGCTGTCACCAAGCAGTGAGTATACAGGGCCCGATGGCTCCAATCTTATTATGTATTATACCTGTGCTCTTCATCTATCATCATTTTATATCTATTTCAATGCAAAAGACCAAAACATTTCCTTATAATGTGCAACATAAATCTGAGGATCAAACATTACACAACAGCGAGTGGTTTGCTGTAAATTACGGGGTCAGCTGACAACTGCCTACTGTTATCCTTTAAAATGTTCACGTAGACACAGCGATACATTGCGTCTGCAGTTTCCACGTGACAAAAAAATAGTATATTTCCAACTGGGCACAAAAGAAAATGAAAAACATAAAGAAGCAAACATAAAAAAAAACAATTAGACAAAAGGAACGAACATAATTTTTAAAGATTATGGTTTTGTCGCCCTACAATTATCGCTACAGCCAGAAAAGGTGGCGGTGCCCTTTAAGCCAGCTGCTAATAGGATTGTTTTAGCGGACTTCAGGACAGGCTAAACTGAAAACGAAATGCTGATGATTGTTAAAAAAATATTATTTAATAATTGTATATTTTTTGAAATGTTATATACTTTTTTAACATTTGAATTCAACAAAAAAGATGTTGGTCTATGCTGAAAAAACAGGCACATTTTCAGTGATGGAAGCTTCCAGGCACCATCCCTGGAAACCAGGGGCAGCTGGCAGTTATATGCATTTGTGGTATGACAATTGTTTTTCAATGTTATTTAATGTGCTGTTTAGATCCCACACCCTCTACTAGTGATAATAACATATCTACTATGGTATTTAAATTCCAACTTTAGCCAAAGGTTCTTTTTTACTTTTGGATGGAGTGGGGAAAAATATAACAACTTTGGTTGGGTTTTTGTTGCTGTTTTTGGGTCCCCATTGTGGATATTTCCCTTCACTTCCTACGCTTGGGATTCCAATATAAAAAATGAGTCAGGGGAAGGCAGCCTCAGCCCTCCAGCTGTAGTAAAACTAATCCCATCATGCCTCTGCCTCTGGGAGTCATGTCTGTGGCTGCCAGAGTCCTGTAATGACTCATGGGACTTGTAGTTCCACAAGAGCTGGAGCGCTGAGGTTGCCTACCTTTGATATAGGCAGGGGGAGCCAAACTTTGTCCCTCCAGCTGTGGTGAAACTACAAATCGCATTAGGCATTGCAAGATTATGACAGCCACAAGTATGACTTCCAAAGGTAGGGGCATTATGGGATTTGTAGTTTCACCAAAGCTGGAGGGCTGAAGTCTGGCTACCCTTGGTATAGGGTATCAACAGGTATTAAAACTGAAGTCGATGTAACAAGGGGCTAACCTCAATGGAAAGAGGCAGTCAATTCAATCTTGGTCAATCCTAGTCTATCCTAATCGGTCTTGGTCAGTTCTGATCAGTCTTGGTCAGTCTTGGTCAGTCTTGGTCAATCTTGGTCAGTCCTGATCAGTCTTGGTCAATCTTGGTCAGTCCTGATCAGTCCTGTCAGTCTTGGTCAATCTTGGTCAGTCTTGGTCAGTCATGGTCAATCTTGGTCAGTCTTGGTCAATCTTGGCCAGTCTTCGTCAGTCTTTATCCGCCTTGGTTAATCTTGGTCAATCTTCTTGTTAAATCTTGGTCAATCTTAGTCAGTCCTCTCAGTCTTGTCAATCTTTGTCAGTCTTGGTCAGTCTTGGTCAATCTTGGTCAATCTTGGTCAATCTTGGTCAGTCTTGGTCAGTCTTGGACGATCTTGGACAATCTTGGTCAGTCTTGGTCAATCTTGGTCAGTCCTGTCAGTCTTAGACAATCTTGGTCAATCTTGGTCAATCTTAGTCAGTCCTGTCAGTCTTGGTCAGTCTTGATCAATCTTGGTCAGTCTTGGTCAATCTTTGTCAGTCTTGGTCAATCTTGGTCAGTGTTGGTCAATCTTGGTCAATCTTGGTCAATCTTGGTCAATCCTGGTCAGTCTTGGCCAACATATTGGTTGCTATGGGGAGCAGTGGTTACTCAGAGTGGCCATGTGACTGTGCTGGCCAATCAGAATCACTTCTCTCTTCTGGGACACTGTTCCAAGGAAAAGAAAGTTCAGAAGAGATTGTTATCGTTCAGCTTGGTCATGTGCCCTGCTTAGCAATCACCGTTCCCCATTGCAACTATTATGTTGCTATACAGGCTCCAGACAAAGGTCATCATTACAGATAAGTGGCATGAAGAATGGAGTGGGGGGAGGCGGATGTTGGGAATTAGTTCACCTTTTCATTTTTTCTGATAACCCTTAAACCACGGGTAAGCAAACACTGCCACTCCAGCTGTGGTGAAACTACAAATCCCAACATGCTTCAGCCTCTGGGAGACATGTCTGTGGATGTCAGATGAGTCTTGCAATGTCTAATGGGATTAGTAGCTGCACCACAGCTGGAGAGTTTGCTACCCCTGCCTTCAACTAATAGTTTTTCAGGGTGCGAATGAGGTAGGGACGGCCCTGTCTATGTTATTGCACTTAGATTTATATGGTGCCACCTTTATTGGACAGTTCAGACCACCATATCCACCCTGAAAGCCCAACTCCAGCCAAAGCTTTTTTTGTTTTGGATAGAGTTGGGAAAAGTATACACCAGGAGTAGGCAACCTCGGCCCTCCAGCTGTTGTGCTGTTGAACAAGTCCCACGAGGCATTGCAAGACTGACTGTTACAGGCATGGCTCTCAGAGGCAGATGAATGATGAGATTTGTAGCTCTACCACAGCTGGAGTGCCGAGGTTGCCTACCCTGGTATATACTTTTGTCAAATTGTTTTTGATGTTTGTGACCCCATTGGAGTGATTTCCTCTCACTTCCTGTCCCTGTATTAGCAGTACAAGAAATTAAGGAAACAGTTACCACCAGGCCAGGCTAGACAATAATAATAATAAGATAGAGGACCTAACTCTACCCCATAATACTGATAAACGTGTTTTGTTGCAGTCTCCATTGTAGAAATTTCTCATCATCTCCTGTCCTAACTGGAAGTGAAGTAGAATCTCCCTATTGGGGACACATGAAGTAATACAAAACTGACAGAGGTTCTATTCCTTCCCCACTCTGCCCAAAACTAGCATTAGCTAGCATTGGGGTTTAACATACATTTTAACTACAAGCCATCCAGCCATTGTAATTAAACGTCCGGACGGCAGCTTTCTAGTGGCGGGTCTCTGTAAATATACGGTGGGAGTGGGAAACGAACATCATTTACAGCCGGCGACGGCTGTGTACATACAAGCATTTGG